TGATTTTTTAAAACAGTGCAATACATTTTATAGTAATTATTCCATGGAATATTAATTATTTTAATAAGTAAACGATGTTTTTCTGTAAATTAATTTAAATTTTACAAATTTGTCATATCTTTGTCCAAATTAAGGTACAAAATTCGTGCAACATTAATACAACAATTCAATTAACACTCGGAAAGGTTTTATATTTTTGGGCCATAGCTCGCATTTCTGAGAAAATTCTTCTTCGTTGCAGTGAGATTTCGGATGCCTTTTTTTATTGAACATTCCTAGAATAGCGCAGAGCGAGTCAAATAAGGCCTCGGAAGTGAAAAATCTGAGACACTATCTCGCGTGCGACTCATATTGCGCCGCCGTTTTATTTTCACATACAAAATGCTTGTGTGTGCGGTGGATTTGATGCAGCCAGAGCGAGCATCTCGCAGGACCTGCGCGCCGCGGCTGCTGGAAAAAGCTGGCGATCAATGGGCTCCGGAGCTCTCCCTGACACCAGAGGTGCGACACTGCCCTCGGCCCCGGCAGCATTTTGCGCACAGCTAATTGCAATTTGCGGCGCACCAATAGTACTGACTGACCTTCAAATAAAACAGCTCGGCACAGAAAAAAAGGATTCTGGTATTTGTTTTTCACCAACAAGTTTGGTAAAATGTGGAAGCAAAATAAATAATATTTAATTTTTTTTAAATAAATTGATTTTGTGGTAGTTTCTTCAATTAAATAATTAAAAACAAAAGTCAATCTACGTTTTCAAATTAATATTTGACAAGTTTATATTTTTTTAATTTTTTTTTTGCAAGCTGAAAATAGGCCAAGATTTTAATTTCCATCTTTTAAACAACTAAAATTGAATCAATTGAGATGTTATACATTTTGATACCTTGGAAAAATTGTTAAGATCAGAGAAGATATTTATGGAATTCCAAGAGCCCTCGTGATCATCATCTTCAAAGTCAAAATTCCAATGCTTGATTGAGATTGGCAACATCAGTTGAGCAAATTCAGAAGGGAATTCAGCTGAAATATTTCGGGGCAGAGACAAAGGCAGCGAGGAATGTTACTTGTCTGCGCCGTTGCAATCGATTCAGCCGAGCGCGTTAATGAAGGCCGATATATGTGCCGCCGTCGCGCTAATACAGATGATATGCTTTTGTGTTTGCCAAAGCCTGTATCATTGCGCAGAGACGAGGATTCTCGAGGGAGGTAAAACGTCCCATGCACGTCCGCACTTGTTTGCGCTCGAAATTATTACGAGATGATTCCGAGAGAGAGAGAGAGAGAGAAATTTGATAATGCGCGCTCGCATATACGCATGGTAAAATGTGGCGCGCGTAATATTTATTCTCAGCAGGGACTCTCTTTACAGACATATGCTTTTAAGATTCAACGCAACCAACGTTTTCCAGCTGCTCCTATTTTCATATTTTCCAATAGTCGGACGCACAATGAGAACGATTTCTTTTCAAAGCGCTCAAGTAGGCAACCCGTATTGCGTATGTAGAAATATTCAATTGAACGTTGTATTCCAGAAGCACTTGCGTGTTGTATTGAATCATTCATTTTTTCCTCTTCAATACCTGATTTAAATTTCATATTTCCATCACTGCATTGAAAAATTTATCATATGATTATATTCAAATTTAATTTTTCCTACAGCGTGCAAAATTTTTATTCAACTTTTGCAGAGGATATTTGATGAGAAATTTCCCCTTTCAAAGCTTCTGCTTATTAAAATATGCGACCTTCAATCTTTGGGAAATTAAATCATAATTAAGTATTGTTCAGATCAAAAAAGATCAATTTTGACTCACTTGTTTTGTGCCATAATAAAATTAGTAAATTCATTGCAATGTGTAAAAATTTTAAATCATCTGCATCAGCAGCTTTCAAACTGATTGTAACTTTTCATTATATCAACAATCCATTGTATTTTCATGAATTGCATCAACTTTGCGCTGTTTTTCTAGTTCTGCAGGTTAATTAAAACCTGGTCATTTATGAAAGACAGTGCTTACTTCACTATTGAAATAACTTTCATTTTCAAGTGGAAAAAGCTCTAATAGGATTGGCTCGTATTGTATGAATAATCCAGCAAAAATAGCTAATGATCTCTCAACAAACTTTACAAACACAACAATCACAGCTCACGGCAGAAGTGGATTTTAAAACATAAAAATTAGAGTTTTTTCGAATGAAAAATCCAAGTTTATTTCTATTTGCGGGAATATCTACAGATTAAAATTCAAGCGTGAATAATTTAAGAGCTTAAAAATTGATTTTGCCAAATATTAAATATTGAGAAATTTTAGATGTAACTGAAAGGGCTGCTGTGGATGCCGCTTTCGACTTGTTCTTGTCTCAATTAATAATTTAAAACGGGCCTGCCGCGCGCAGTTAGCGCACAAGCCTGGCGTGTCTGTCAGTCTTTCATTGAGAGCGCTCAATGTTTGCACAAAGACGCCGGCTCGGAGAGAAAATTCCAGCCGTCGTCAAAGGGAGCTTCTTGCGTTTAGCAGATCAAGAGCCAAGTGCCCGCAGGTGTGAGCCTAATAGTATCGGGCCGCGCGCGCACCAACCACCCTTTCCTTACTTGATTACCTCGAGACGCTTGATTGCCGGCAACTTCCCCTGGGGATTCTCCGCACTTCGCCAACAGTCATAATGAATTAGAGACACTGCTCTTCGCGTTGCGTTGCGGCTCACAATCAGCCCGGCCGCGCCAAAACATTTCTTTCTCTCCCAATAATATGTACAAGAGCCAGAGGAATTTGCAGACGGAAAAGGATGAATTATTTTCATTGTCGTAAGATAATTTCTATTTGTCGCTAATCAACAATTATAATTTCAAACAAGCTAAAATGAAACAATAAAAAAATTGAATACAAGGATAGCTTTTTATTTTTAATATTATTTTTTATGCTTGAAATTTAAATCTAATGGAATCCGTGAAAATAACGAGAAACGTAGAAAATATTGAAATAAACAGCTAGAGCTGGAGAGTATTTTTTTTTTTACCAAGTTGAAGAGTTTTTGATGGTTAGCTGATCCAAGAAACCCGATGCCAGGGTCAAGAGTGAGATCGAACTTCTCAGCCGAATTTCGTGCCAAACTCATGTTGGCGTTTTTGCTTTCATTTTATATATAATTTCCTAGAATAGCTCCTCTGTTGATCGTTGGCACTCATGGCGAGTTTGATCCCCTTTTTTGCTCTGAATTTTGATGCCAGAGGAGTCAATTTAATTAAACCAGGCCCACACAATGAAGGCGATACTAAAGCCAAAGCTAATTTAAATTGCTCTTCAAATTTCGCATGGCGAGAGTGAAGTTTTGATTTTCGCACTCAAATTTTCTCTCTCTTAAATTAAACATTTTTAGCTCTGGTCATTGATTTTTGTACAATTAAACGTGCTATGATTAAATTTTAAATCTATTGAACATTTTCGCAAATTTATTCTAAAATATCTTAGAGAAGAAATTGAATTATTTAAAGTCAACTTTTTTCTGATTGAAGTAGCTACATAAAATTAATTATTGATTATAAATTAAAACTATTTAACTTCATTTCAATTGAAACATTCTGATTGTGAGTGCTGGAGGCATATTAATTAAGCAGTGCATATTTAAATAGCCGTTTTGCGGATTCACATCAAGCGAAGGAGCGAAAATTCCCCTGGGACTGCAGTTGAATTTCGAGATCCCCCAAAGATTTAATCAAACCAAAAGCCGCATATTTAACAAATCTGCAGCTCTCAGCATTTTGAACTTAATCAAGTTCTCTCCTGAGGATTTTGGTTCTTGGCAAGACACACACACACATCTCTTGGATGAGCAAATTCTGATCTGGTTAATTCGAGCTGAAGGAAAGGTTTCGTTCCTGCCGCCGGGATTTATTCGCCGCCGCCGAGAGATACAAAATTATGCATTCTCTTTTATATGCGGAAGGGAAATTTCCGGAGGTGCCGTGAACGTGCAAATGCGCCATCAAAGGACCAAATCAAATCTGATGGCGGGGCCGATGCGCAGGGATTATTGCCGGCCAATAACATTCAAATGCGGACGAATCGCCGACAAAAGGCTTCAAGCCCATACACGAGTGCCGCATTGGGCCGTATTTGTCGCGTGTGAAATTCAAATGAGAGCGTTCGATTGTCGCGGTGCCGGATTAATCACTCTCACTAGATCGCACTTTCAATTAAAATAAACGGCCCAAGCATTATCTTCACGTGCTTAAAAGGAAGACAAATTTTATTTCAAAGACATATTTGGGCAGAATTGAATCAATTTTAAGAACGATTTGATAAATCATATAAAAAAGATTTTTCTGTGTCTGTACAAATGTTAAATTGAAGTAGAGATTATGAATAATTTTAAGTTCGTATACAAGAACTGTGTGATATTGGAGAAAACTGTAGCTTAATGATTGTGATAAGCTTGCCCAGTAGAAATCTGTTTTTTCATTATTGCGCATGAAAACGGGAATTTTATAGTGCAATTAAAATATAGCTTTTCTTCCAGTATTTTTAAAATGTTTATATCATTCAAGAGGAGCTAAAAATGAAGTAATTAATTTTTGTGAATGTCGATATCATTTTATGTTCTTTATAATTTTTACCTTCGCTATATAATTAACATTATCCATCTCATGTGAGATATTATTAAGAGGTTTATTAAACTATAATTAGACTTAATGATGCGTCAATATTTTGCTTTCGATTCGTAGCGATTTTATTGAAGTGGAAGTTTAAATGTTGATTTACCTAGAAGTAAATTAATTGCATTCTACGTTGTGATTAAAGCTGCCATGAATAAATGAGCGACCTCGTTAAATTCATAATCAGAAAGCGTGAAGCCATTAACGCAAACGCGTGCGGAAACTTGTGATGTTGTCGCGTCAAAAGAAGCGTCGACTTAATTATTCGCGACCCACATAACATGCAGAAAAATTTAATGAGCTGCAAACGAGTTGTGAAGAAAGAAAATGTGTGTTGTTGTTGCAGGTTTGCACGACGAGGCGAATCACGGCGGCGAGCATCATCATCATTCGCATCACTCCTCCTGGGCTTACACTTTGGGAGCTTTAAAATTTCATCAGGCAACTTCTTCTTCTTCTTCCACGTCGGCGGTGGCGCGGAGTAATCACGTACCTATCGGCCCAGTCAAGGAACCCGCCCAGCAGCACCAGCAGCACCAGCAGCCCAAGGATGTTTTCCTCTCGGAAAACAGCACCGTGGTGCTCGCCCAGACCGGCAGCACTCCCATAATGCACTGCGAAGTCGGCGATATCGGCGAGGGCATGGTACGGACACGTCACTCTCAATTCAATCAATGCAATCCACGTTTCAATTCAATTCAAGAGCTGCACTTTATTTATTCATGATTTTCTCGGAATGTTTTCTAAAAAGCAGGGCTTATTGCTTTGTATTTATCGGTGCCCCACTTTTTTATTAAAGCTTATTTCATATGAAAAACATGTCGACAAAAAATAATTTGTTTGATAGTCAAAGGTGAATTTATAATTCTGTGATTCCGATCTAATATATTCTTCAATTTTTTCCGCTGCTGGGTTTTCAGAAAACTTCCCAAAAAGAAAAAAGAGATAATTATGAGAAATTTACTATAATTTTAAATTAAAAAGTCATTTTTATTAATAACGACCCTTCTGTTGTTTCTTGAAGAGAGCAAAACTCTATAACTTTTATGCTCCATTATAGAGTTCCACAAAAATCTGAAAAAGAAAAATTACATTTAGTTGGCATCAATGAGTATCGCTCGGAAATCTTACTTTTTTATCGTATTTATTTTGATTGATTTCTTTACTTGATAAACTTCATTCGTAGAGTTAAAATTTTAAACTTTGTTACAAATGAAATGAAATTATTTTGAATAGAGAATGAACAATGAAGTTGGAGAGTTTTGAATGAAGGGAAGCAATGCCAGAAATAGGAAAAGAAGTTGGATGCGGAGGCGGCGCGCAACCCCATTTATCATTTTTTTCCCGCCGAGAAACAAATAATTTCAAGATTTTTAAACGAGGAAAACTCTCCGGCCCCACTTTATATTGGGGGAGATCAAGATGCAAAAAATATGCGCCGAGAGGAAGAACTTTTTAAACTTTCCGACGACAAAAAAATGAATTATTTTGTCAGTCTGCAGAGCAACTTTTTGCCCGCGGCGCGCAATCAGATGCCAGCAGCGCATTATAAAATTCTTGTTTCCATCTTGTGCTTTCTTCATTATTTTCTCTGGAAAACTGTGGCCTTTTCAATTTGCACAATTTACATTAAGACGCGGAGAAAGTAATTAATTCTTGTTGGCGCAGGTTTCGTGGATCAGACGCAAGGACTATCATTTGCTGACCGTCGGCCTCGCCACTTACAGCAGCGATGACCGCTTCTTCACGGCTCACGTGCGTCATGCGCAGGTAGGGGTCAATTAATCACCTTATCAGGCCATTAATTAAGCCACCGCCACGTCAACCTCCGAAAAAAACAAGTGCACGTCGCTCTCTCTCTCTCTTTTGAGAAATGGCCTCGGCCAGATTAATTAAACACTCGCGCGCACTTTTTCTTTCTATTTTTGGCTCTGTGACATTTCAAAGAGCGTTCAAGAGGGACATCTTTCAAGTTTATTTCTCACTGAATGAAAAAAAAGACCAAATTTGAATTTTTAAACAAAAACATTTCCTGAAAAGGACCATTGGAGCTTCATCTTTTTCCGCCATACGAATTTAAATCTCAAGGAGCTATTATTGATTGCAAAATTTCTAATTTAAAGACCGACTCTGGTGATTTATTTATCCAGAAAGAGCGCGAAATTTCGTGGAAATCTTGTGAAATCAGGATTTGAAAATTGGAAACCGTTACTCCACAATTGCAAGAAAACGTAAAGCAGCTTTAAAAAAAACTTCAGCAGAGTGGGTCTTTAAGTAAAAACATCAAATATTCTTAAAGACTCGCCACGAAATTCTAATGATTTTTTTTTTTTTAATTTCGTTTTCATTTTTAGGCATGAAATTTGGTCTTCTTTTCACATTCAGGAATACAAAATAAAATTAGCAGCTCATTAAAATAAATGGAACTCTGGTTTTTAATCTTTCAGGACTGGGCTCTCCACGTAAAATATGCGCAAGAACAAGACGCCGGTCTTTACGAATGCCAAGTCTCCACCCACCCGCCGACAAGTTTGTTTGTCGAGTTGGAGCTCGTCGGTGAGTTTGGTTTTTGCTTACTTTTTTTTCTTCAGACACTGATTATTATAATTTCAGAGGCCAAAGCCGAGATTTTAGGAGCGCCGGACAAGTTTGTGAAGAGCGGGTCGGCGCTGCGGCTGACTTGTGTGCTGAGGAAAAGCACCGAGCCCCCGGTCTACGTTTTCTGGTACCACAACGACCGAATGGTCAATTACGACGCGGCCATGGGGGTGGTGGTGCGCCACGGCAGGTACAGTTCCGAGCTGGAAATCACCACCGCCAAACCTGAGCACTCGGGCAACTTCAGCTGCGTCCCTTCCAACACCAGGCCTGCATCAATACACGTGCACATCCTCAATGGTAAGAGTTTTTGTTTGTTTTTTTGTTAATGACTAAAAAAAGTTAAATCAAACATTTGATGAATTTTAAGATTTTATACTTAAATCTTTTATTAAAAGCTACTTTTGTACTTTTGCTTCTAAGACTGAAGATTTTAATAATCAAAATATAATCATGTAAATTGAAACAATTGGTTTAAATCTTTGTGTTTTTGCATTTTGAAGAAAAAAATATATATATTTTATATACCCAGGTGATTTTTATTGCTCTTTATTAAGAAAGATCGCTAAATTTGGAGTATATCTTGAGTGAACACGATGTGAAAATTCCAAACTGTTTAACAAGGAAAGGATTTTGCGCGAAAAAAATTTGAGAATTGAGTTGATGTTTTTCTTCACGTTATTTTGGTTCAAAAACTTCAACTTTTCATCAATGGTGGCGCTGAGATCGCTGGTTTTGCCACTCACGACACTCTTCAGAAAGCTTAGCCAGCGATCGCAGCGCCACCAACGACCAAAGTCTGAAGTTTTTTTTTACCAAACTGACAAAAATACTCGTATTTTTTCTTTTTGCCAGTGGATTTCTTGAATTAGTCTTTCTTGTGATTGCGATGCAGCGGTTTGAAATTTTCGCACCCTGTTTTACAAGATTTACTTGAAACTTGGCGATTTTTCTTAATAAAGAGCAATAAAAATCACCAGAGAAGGTCTTTAAATAAATTTTGTATGAATTAAATCAATGAAACACCAAAGTATACCATTTTTTTTATAATAATTGTTCCTTGCGCAATGCAAAATGTTTTATCGTTTATCTTCTATAAATAAGTATAATGTTTAATAATTACGATTTTTAATACTTTTAATAGAAATATTTAGACTTCACAAAACTTGCCCTCCTCAACTGTTATTAAAACATAATCAAATACATCAAATAAATTCCTTACAAAAAAGCTCCAACTTTTGCCCCCAAGAATTGCATTATTTAAAACTTTTACTAGCAAAAAGATTAAATGTTTTTCGTGTCACAAACTTTGGATGCAACCCTGGCTGAATTAATAACTGTTGAGGAAGGATGCGTGTGTCAACGTGGCCCCTGCTTTTGGTGATTTGCCCCCCGAGTCATCAGTCTTGTGTGTGTTGGCAGGTGAGAAACCAGCGGCCATGCAGCACGGCAGCAAAAGTTCGGCCCCAAGTTGGAGATCCCAAGTCATATCTCTTGTGCTCTTGACATTTTACTACCTGATGAGGTGACGTGGACTGTGAGCACCTCTTTTGTTGCTGTGATGCGTGACTCGAGTGAAAACAAACCCTCAAAGGTGTTGCATAATAATTGTGATAAATGTATTCAAGCGCGCAAAACAAGAAGAAGTGCATCGGCTGCAGTTAATTTCAACAAAGACCTGCGTTCGTCTCTCACAAAAATATCCCCGTTTATCAAGTTTGCAAAGAAAGACTGACTCGACGACGAAATCTTAAAATTAATATAATAACTCAAAAAATCAATTATACAATCCGGTTTTAACTCGACAAATGCGATCATTTTCTCAGTGGGTGTTTCAATTCAATATCAAAGAAGGAGACACAAAAGCTGTCACCAAACTAACTGTGCAATGTTATAATGTATAAAATAGATAATTAATGATGTAAAATGCAGCTTGTTTTTCTTCTCTCTGCGAAAACCCTGAATTGTCTCGGTTTCAGTGCAAGATGAAGTGGAGCTCTTGAGAGATGAAACACAATATTTTCGTTCCATTTGCAAGCGCGGCGACCCAGTTCGCAGGAAAATAAAAGGGTTGCAAAATCAAAGGCTCATCTGCGGGCGGAATTTCCATCCGATTCGGAAAAAGGTAAAAAAAAAAATGATGCCAGGCCTGACGCAATTTGACGCAGAATAAAATATGTGTGATCAGATATCGAGGGGCGAAAGAGGCTTTGGGCGGGCACGCGCAGATAGCTTGATTTAATGCCGCTTTTTGACAACGTTTGCAGAAATGAAAAGGCAAATCCTAGGGCGCACAGCATAAATCTCAGAATCCTTTTGCATCAAATTCGGATTAGCCTAAATTCTAAAAATGAGCAAATAAAAATTATTTAAATAATAATTTTTTTTGGAAATGTAAACACTAAAAATAAAATAAATACAGAGTTTTTAATTCAAATTCTGAAAGTTTTCAAAAACGTTGCAGCTGATTGTGGATGAAAGATCTGCATTTTTGTCACGCACAATAAAAAGGGTCAAATGGAAATTCAGATTTTTGCATTTTTTTATTGTGACGCAAACTCATCGCGTGCGGCTGGCAAATGTTGTTTGTGTCCATGAATAGAATATTCAACGTGTGTGCATCTTCGGCGCTTTTGTGCGGCATTCACGTTTATGCTAATAACATTTCTATACTTGCACACCAAGTGAATGCACACGCAAGATTGCTTTATGCGCCGAGATAGGATGCTTCAAGAAAAATGGATCGTGTGGAGATGTTTTTGCATCCTTGAAAGCCTTTACATTTCCTTGACCCGGCGCAAAGAAAAATTCAAACGTATTAAAAAAAAACTGTATGGATTGAATAACCGATGTCCTCACCACGCAAAATTTAAATTTCTTCAATTTGATTTAACAAAATAAATGATTTTTGCTAGCTAAAGTAAAAGATGCATGCAACAAGCTCCACGTCTGTGTCGAGCAAATTGCATACATTCGATTTCTCATTTCCCCATCCGACGCTCAAATAATATAAAAATTCGCTCCGGCACGAGACGTGAAAGAAAAAGAAGCCGTCGATAATGCATGAAAATGATAAGGCGGAGATAAATTCGTTCTCGCCGCAAGGAAAATTGACTGCAGATGTCTATCTTTCACTTTTGCACGAATATTTTATTGGAGTGGCGCAAAAATTGGCAATACAGTCGCGTTGAGACGAGCGTAAAAACGGGCAAATGCAAACGAAACAGCAGAGAAGTCGGTCGGTGGGGCTCAAATAAGCCGCGCCATCGAGATCGAGCCCCTCACACACAACTCCTCTGACAAAGTCGGGCCACGTACTTGATGTGATACGCATAGCCAATGGAGTGCTGTCAACTTGAAGAGCAGCCAGGCCAGCCCATCCAGCAGTTGGCCGGGCTAACGTGCGCGCATCTCTTTATGTATGCGGCCGTGGTACACACAAAAATATCCAAACAAAGTCTCTCGCCGCGCCAAAGATAAAAAAAAGCCAACGTCTCTAATTTTTGGCAAAAGTAATAATTCAATCACAATTTACGAAAGCACTTCCTCTTTTTATATTTTTTGTAAAAGATTGCAGGGCAGGCAATTTTGCAAAAATTTTGAAGTTTGATGCAATATTTCAGAAAAAATTCTGTTGTTTCTTCTTTTTAGCTGCTTGCCATTTATATCCGGCACAAATTTGATGCCTTTTTTAACCGCGCGGATATTTTTTTTACGACCTTTTGATGTAAGGCCACACATTACTTGCTTGCTTTCATGTGGTGTGGGGGCCGCCGCCGCCGCGCGTTCCCTCCTCGGGGACAAATTTAAACGAGAGAGACGCGCACGCAGGGCTTTGGCGTAATCCCCGCTTTGCGAGATCATCCAGAGATTGATTGCTTTCACGACTGCATTTTAATAGTGCGCACCGCCCTAGAATGTAAAAGATAGAGAAGCGTAATTTTTTTTGTCCCGCGCCACCGTCGCCGCGCCAAGACACTCCATTTAAAGCAAAGCCCGAGGGCGGATCCGAATGTTTTTACGTCGGATTTCTCGCTTTTTTGCTTTTTGTTTTCCTAACAAGCGGACGAAATTCAAACTTGCCATTTTCCGAGAGATGTAAAAAAATGTTACTTTTAAATATTTTGAGGACGAAAAACGGTAGGAAAGTTTTAATGAGTCTCCGTCATTTTGGAGAAATGCTGCAGGAAATTGGCTTTTGAGGAGATAATCTTGGGTCCAGCGCGATCTACTGTTGAGAAGCATCTTGGAGGAACTTGTAAAGTAGTCTCGGTAATGGACTTGCCACAGGCACGGCACTTTGGCCGAGTTGGTGCGGAAATTTAGTTGGCCGGCCGGCCAGCCGAGGCAGGGGTTGACACTTGAAGAGCCCGGCAGATTACACGGCTCGCCTCTTAATTTGCAGTGCGGTGCGTGCTGTGCAGATTGCGCGGCGTCTGCATGCGAAATAGGCCAGCGACGAGATTCAATTTAATTGCTACCTTTTCACCTTAAAACAAGGTAACCGCAAATCTTTTTACATTTTGATCAGTTTTCTTAAAAAAAGATCGAATTGGAATTTTCATAATTTCATAAATCACTTTGCATGATAAAAAATCAGTTAATTTCTAAGAAATCAGTGAATATTTAAATAACTCTGATGGAATTTGATACAATGGCACTGGAATCTGAAGATCGCCCCACTCGTCAGTCACTTACGTTAAGATTGTTTGCGTTTTAGCAGAAAAATAAATGAAATTAGTAGCCTTTTCCAAGATATCAAGTTTATAAATTTTAATAAATTAAATATATTCTACATTTATCCAAATTCTTCAGCAATTGATTTGGATTATTGAAATCTTTTGGAAAATTATTTTAAAATGTTCCACTCAATTTTGTTTGTTTGGAATTAATTTGAATTGAAAAGAAAAACATTGATTTGAAATCTCAGTAGTAACAAATTTATTGCACGCTCATGTATTTTTAATATTCAACACCCCATGAAGTAAAGGCAAATCAGCGGAATTTTGTGCCACATCAGCCGACTGTCATGCTTGACTTGGCACAAAAGTTAACAACGCAGCTGCAGCGAAAGAGGGATTCAATACATTTGGGAGGCTTTGCTTGAACAACGGCGCGTTTCTTTATTTGCTCATCATCCATTTAACCCAAATTGAGTTCCCTTATTTGCGAGAGCGCGAGTCTGTTTAAATTGCCTCCCACCTTCGTTCCCTCCTGCGGATGCGCCCACGCGGGAATTATTGTTAGCGAATTTCATCATAGAGTGGAAGAGGAATTGAAGTTTCATTGATTGAAGATTATTTGAAAATTTTATGCCAATATTTGATAGGAAATTTATATTATTTTCTGTGAAAGCAATCAGAGGTCAAAAAATAATGAAATTATTCAACTTATTTGAAATTAAAACCTTTGTTACAGCGATAGTGATTTTAAACTAAAAAATATGGTTGTAAATGAATTATAATTGGATTTTAATAATGGATCTAGCGTCGAATAGGATCGGCATATTTTTTTCTCCAGCACCATTATCGACGGTTTTCCGAGGCGGATTTCAACGCAGGTCGGAAGAGATTTGCGGCAAAGCTCTTTGTCAAACCTCGCTCGCCTGTATTCAATAATCGGACGGACGCGTTCTGCTGTGTACAGACAAGATCATCTTGTAATCAAACAGAGCTTTTGTTCCGCCCAGCCTGCAATCTGAGTGGAGCGGCTTGTGTATTTCACCACGCGCGCCACATAATCCGTCTTTATTAAAACAAGTTTGCCATTATTCTGGGCGCGAGCTTCCCTTTGGCTCAGCCGGCTTTTGTTTTGCCAACTCGGGAAATTCGCGGGTCCTCGCCAAGACTTTTTTATCATTTTCCAGCATTAGAATGAATATACTTGTTGGTAATTATACTTGCAAGAGGAATTCTTGAATCTCGAACAAAAATCAGTGTCGAGAAAGAAGTGTTTCTTCTTCCCCTTATTATTTTTCAAAGAATAATTTAAATTAGGGTTAAAACGCTTTCTTTTTCTCCGTCTAAAAAGAAGTTGCAACCGAATTAATTCCGTGCAATTACACTCCCCTCGTACATTTTTAATCAAATATCATCTCTTCTCCTCGGCTGCATCTCCCATAAAAGCTGGAAAAGTTTCCGCCCGCGCCCCAGGTGGAGAGACCAACGAAAAACTTTTATACAAATCCGAATAAATTGAGCCCGCCTGCTTAATTTATCGTCACATTCTTGCTTCCGCTTGTCAAGGAAAAATATTGTGAGCTATTTTTGCGGTTTCGATAAAAGGCAAATAAACTTATTTTCTAGGGATAGAAACTTTTGCCGTCTGAATCATAAAAAATAGACAAAAAAGATCGCATTGAACAATGGAGAGATGATTGCCTCCGAGCGGCAGACGTCTCAAGCAAAACGAGTTCCGAGAGATCAAAAGCTGCAAAGATGGTGCACAAGAAAAAAAACATTCAAAAACATTTTCGTCAGCGCTGCAAGCACTTGTTCCGCGAGGCCACTTCTGGGAATTAAAGAAGAAGAAATGGTAGAAGTTGTGCAGTTGGTCACTCTCGACGCTAATTGGGGACTTGAATGGTTGCGACGTCAACCAACAAGTCTCAAGTGTATATCAAAATATGCCGCGGGACGGAAAAGATCTCACATTAAATATGGGGCAGAAGAAGAAGAAGTTAAGGCTGCAGTATAATTACGGGGCGCACCTTGCAGACTTTGTTCGCTCCTTGGATGATGTAATTTTTTTGCTCGCCCGCGCAAAGTTGAATAAACAAGACACTCTCTACTTAATTAAGTGTATCTTGCCGACTCGTTAACGTTAAACACCAATTAATATGCTAACTCTGCAGCAGCACGCGCGCCTCAACACGCCTCTCTGCACTTTCTCTCTCAA